ACGAACGCAAATGCGCCTGAGCATGCATATACAATAGGGATTCCCTAAGCAGGAGACAATCTGGCAGTCATTATCTCTCGCTTTCACCCTATCTCTCCCTCTCTCTCTCTCTCTCTCTCTCTATATATATATATATATATATATATATATATATATGTGTGTGTGTGTGTGTGTGTGTATATATATATATATATATATATATATATATATATATATAAGAAAAAGGTTATAGTAGTTCCAACGAGAGATAAGTGTGTATATTAAAAAGAAGAGAGATACTGCTAACGTTTTTGGTTGTAATGTGGATTTTTTTTTTTAGATTATGCTTTATTTTTCCATAATTTTACTACACGTGTTTCCGGTCTCGTGACCGTCATCAAGTAAAGGGTGGAGATTTCCACATATTATTGAAAATATTTTTTTTTCTCTTTTATGTTTTTCGGTGTTAAATATTCTCGATATGAAACATTCTCTTTGTGTGTGTGTGTGTGTGTTAGTAATCCGAATGTCTTTCTTGAACTGGCAATGACGTGTTCTGATCGAAGGGTCATACAAAATGAGATTGGTCCGTGAGAAATAATGAATTAGTTATCGGTATCTTATCGTTTAATGTTTTAATGACCCCTGTGTGTTCGTAGATCTATTTCCATTTTCGTGTGTTTCTGACAGCGTGCGTGTATATATGTGTATATTCCCTCTCCATACATACACACTGTCTCACTACGAGGAATTAGTAAACACATTTGTACACATACACGCAGGCAAACACCATCCCACTACAAGGAATCAGTACATACACAAACAAACATTATACCATATGCAATCACATCCACAAACAAAGTCACAAAGCAAATATCCTAACACATTCTACATAATATCACCACACACAAATACACCCACATAACAAATACAATTATGAACAATCACTGAACAGAGGAAAAACAAACCTGCACAGACCAACACACCATAAAACAAAGAGACAAAGATCAGTCTACACACACATTCACAAAACCAACACTTACAAATACCACCTAGCACAACAAACCAAACCTGAGAACCATTATCTATATCCAGGAGTACAGCCAGAATTTCCCGAAAAGTTCTACACACAATTCACATACAATCTATACAAAAACAATAAATCTAGAAACATATGGAACTCACTCCCTAACAAAAACAAACACGGCTATATAGAACCATCGAGAAACAACAACCCCAATTTCACAAAATAAATAAATAAATAAATAAAATAAAATAAAAACTCTCACTGGCTAGAAAACTCAAAATATACAGGAAGAAGGTATCTCTAAGAAAACCCGAGATATATTAAAAAAAAAAAACAATCATTATTTTTAAAAGCCCCAGTCCGAACAAGAAAACCAGTTTAGTTGAGACAAAATCCAAAATACATATACACTTGCAAATGACGAAATCAACCTACTGAAATGGGGCCTAAAATTCTGCCCAGCTCCGAAAAGCAATATAGCAGAGCTAAATATAAAGACCTTAAGGAATTTGAACTCAAATTGAGACGAAGAAAAATATTTAATAATAACGAAAGTATTACAGATAAGTCACTGGTAAAAAAAAACAAATACAATTTATTCCCAAACAAAAATAACAATACCAATGAGCTATTTATATTTTTTTGAAAAACTCGACCTACAAGAAAAATCCAAACCATTCAACAAACTCACATACAAAGACTAGGCTTAGAGAACATCCGAAAAAATAATAACATAATTATAAAAAGAAGCAGATAAAGGCAGCGCTATAGTAATCATGGACAGAACATACCATAAAATAAAAATCCTAGAAACACTAGAGGATAGGAACAGCTATAAATTAATTGACACTAACATAGAGAAGGATTTATTAATAATCTTTGTACCAAAAAACAAGCAATTTCTACGGACTACCTAAAATTTACAAATCGAGTGAAATAAAAGTAGCTATCCAGACAGAAAAATCTGAAAACATTATCATACTAAACCCCTGTGATCTTACAATTTGGACCAATAGCAGCAGGACCGGTCTGTCCAATTGGTAAACTCAGTAACCTAATAGACATAATATTGCAAACATATACTAAAATTAAAACCACGTCAAAGACGCTATCCATTTCCTTAGCTGCATACCACAAAAGGTAGATCCGGGAACGCTTATGGCAACTTTTGACATTAGTAGCCTATACAGCAACATACCCCATGAACTAGGAAAAAATGCAATCTCATTCTAGATTGAAAAACATCCAGAAATACTACATCCGAGATTCACTATTTCATTATCGATAGTATAGACCTAATTCTAAACAGTAACACTTATATATTATGCCAATATATCAAACAGACAATTATTCTTATCCAGTAAATATAGGACAAAAAATTCATAAACAAATTTAAACCAGAACCAAAGAGATTATAACGCCACAAGCATAAGCACACAACATACACACATGATGACCAAATACAGTGATCAAACCACTCAAATACATGCACGCACACTCACATGCAGGTATCTGTGGAAAACGAATATATATATATATATATATATATATATATATATATATATATATATATATATATATATATATATATATATATATATATATATATATACACATGTTGACAAAAGCAAGGGACTACTCACAGGCACTCACACAAACAACTTAGGAAGAACTTTTGTATGTATGTACGTATATATGTGTTTATATGTGTGTGTATATGTATACTGGTTCCATGTAACTTGGGAAATATGTGTGTGTACGTATTTGTGTACGTATGTGTGTGTGTGTGTGCATGTACTGATTCCTTGTAGTGGGTCTGTGTGTGTGTATGTGTGTATGTGTACAAATGTGTTTACTAATTCCTCGTAGTGTGACAATGTGTATATATGGAGAGGGAATATACACATATATACACGCATACTGACAGAAACACACGAAAATGGAAATAGATCTAAGAAAACACAGGGGTCATTAAAACATTAAAAGATAAGATACCGATAACTAATTCATCATTTCTCTCGAACCAATCTTAATTGTTTTATGACCCTTCGGGCAGAACTCTTCATTGCCAGTTCAAGAAAGACATTCGGATCACTAACACACACAAAAAGAAGAGAATGTCTCATATCGAGAATATTTAACACCGAAAAAACATAAAGGAGAAAAAATAATTATTCTAAATAACATGTAGAAATCTCCACCATGTACCTGATGACGGTCTTGAGACAAGAAACACGTGTATTAAAATTATAGAAAATAAAGCATAACATTTTTTTCAAAAAATCCACATTACAATCAAAAACGTTTGCAGTATCTCTCTTCTTTTTAATATACACACTTTTCTCTCGTTAGAACTACTATAACCACTTTCTTATATATATATATATATATATATATATATATATATATATATATATATATATGAATTTTTATGTTTATACACTCTTCTTATAGATACAAATATTTAAGTAAATTCTCTGTTTATAGTAAACAGTTTAAACAACATTTGCCGGTAAATGTTGTTTAATACTCTTTATTATAAACAGGGCATTTACTGAAATATTTGTATCTATAAAAAGAATGTATAAACATAACAATCCCTTTAAAATAAATGTCGGACTTTCTCCATGTCATAATATATATATATATATATATATATATATATATATATATATATTCCGGCTCGCATTGAGGAATCGGAGACCCGTGCTCGAATTCCAGTCGAATACATTGTATTCACATAGGTACTAATAACCTTGGGAAAGGTATGAATCCCTTCTTCCCCACCCCCTACACTAGGTATGGCTAAATAGCAGGACAGATTGTGTTCTATAGCATTGGATGGCACCTGGTCTAGGAGAAGGACAGCTCTGAATTCAAAACCTGCGAAGTGTCGTTTAGGGACATTTTTGCACGTAATGGACCAGATGTCTATATTCGGCCCTTCAAAACGTGCGGTTGATTCTGCGCAAAACCTTCACCGCTATAATCAAATCATATGTGCTGGCGTCTAGGCTGTCGCTTCCTACGAACTAAACTGCTTGATCCTCATATGTCGAATAGGACGGGAGAGTCGAATATATATATATATATATATATATATATATATATATATATATATATATATATATATATATATATATATATATATGTGTGTGTGTGTGTGTGTGTGTGTGTGTGTGTGTTTCATTAGAAAAGACTGATTATGTACTGTGATTAAGCTCATTATTAAATTTTCATTGTGTTGATATAAGGGTTTTGCTTTTACGAACACATGATAAACTGAATAAAATGATTAATTACAGTATCTTGGCAGATGTCTAATTACACATATAAAAGCGTGACATGTGTGTGCTTACATGCGTGCGTGTGTGTATATAAATATATTGGGACGTGTGTGAGAATTATTCTCCACATCTTCCTAAATATTCTGTTATTACTCTAAATAATTATGAACCAAAATGTTGCGATCATTTTTCGTTAATTCATTTGAAAAGATTTAGGAGGGATTTTCTCTGGATTTCACTCATGATTAACAATTTTAAATTCTCCAAGTCTTCTTTCCTCTGGTAAATTTACAACTGCCTTTTTCGTGATTGTTAGCAACAGTTCCTATTCTTGTAAAAACAAGAAAAAAAAATCTTCGTCCATTCTCTCGATGGTATTTTTCCGCAATCGTCGTTAAATGTTGACAATAGTTTGGTAATAAGCGTGTAGGCGGTAATGAGCTTGTGTTTCTTTTTTGTTTTTTTTTTTTCGTTGAAGGAAATTCTTAGAAGGTTTTAAAGGAGTAATTACCATGGTGGCGATGGCGGTGATGATGATGATGTTGTTGATGATAATGATGAGGAAAATGAAGGACATTAATCATATTAAGAAGAGCAAGAACAAAGAATGACTGTTGGCATTTGGAACAGAAAAGAATAGGATTTACAATGATAGTGATAGTCTTAGTAAAGTTTAATGTAGATCGCGATTTAAATCGATCGATCAATCAACAGATATATATATATATATATATATATATATATAAAATATATATAGATAGATAGATAGATAGATAGATAGATAGATAGATAGATAGATAGATAAAATATTGTAATAAATAGATAGATAGATAGATAGATAGATAGATAGATATGAACAGACTGTGATAGATAGATAGATAGATAGATAGATAGATAGATAGATAGATAGATAGATAGATATGAACATCCAAAGAAAGAATTAAACGAAATAACACTAGGCATGTGATCCACGCCCGGAGATTAAGCAGAAGCTTCTTTTCAGAATTCCCGGTAGACTAAACAGACTAATATACACTCGAGGAAGGCCGGAGAGTACAGCAGCCGAAACGTTGTAATAACATCAACAGTGTCTTGACCCATAGACCGAATATAAATAGTGTAAATAATAATAATTTCTCATTTAAAAAATTTAGACAGAACTTATACAATCTGTATTATCGCATATGTAGTTTTGTTTTTAAAGAAAGTATTTTTTTTTCATATGAAATTCAAAAGGCGGATATATGTAGTGTCAACCTGAAACTAGACCATCATGGGAGCCAGTTTTATGTTTGACTCTCCGAACGCAGCATCATTTGAGGTCAATGTAACAACAGGTTTTTTTTGAGCGTGGGAATGAGCTATATGTTTGAGGTAGATATACGAGGGTCATTCAATAAATAAGGTGAATTTTTCGGTATAAGGACTTCTAATACAGATAGAAGCTTACTTTTTTTTATTTTTCAATGTAGTCTCCCAGCACTGTCACACATTTTTCCCATCTGTGTACAAGCTTCCGTATTCCCTCAGCGTAAAAACCTTTGAACTGATGTCTCAGCCAGACGCTCACAACACTTTTGACTTCATCGTCACTTTTAAACTTCGTGCCTCTCGTGAACGCTTTCAAGGGACCAAACAGGTGAAAGTCTGAAGGGGCAAGGTCTGGGCTGTAAGGGGGACGAGGGAGCAGTTCCCAGCCCAGCCCGTTGATGGTCTGCACCGTTTGGGCTGCTGTGTGAGGCCTTGCGTTGTCATGATGCAAGATGACTCCTTCTGACTGATGACCCCTGCGTTTGTTCTTTATGTCTTTCTTGACCTGCCTCAGCAGTTCACAGTAGTTCTTCTGTCAGACTGAATGAGGTCATTGACTGATTCAATCACCTCAGGAGACCTCACTTCTGTAGGCTTCCCAGGCCTGTCTTCATCCTCAACACTGCTCCGTCCTTCTTTAAACAATTTAGCCCACTTGTAGACATTTTTTTGGTTGAACCATGTGGCACCATACACAGTTAACATTCTCCTATGAATTTCAACTGGTTTGCACCCTTCAGCAACCAAAACTTGATAACTGACCGCTGTTCAATCCTGGAGCATGCTTCTTGGTCGGCCATCTTTGTTAATCGCCAAAACTCTCAAAGTTTTTTTTTTTTTTTTAATCTGCAAAAGAAATTAAATCCATGTGAAAAAGAAGTAAAACAAAAAAAAATCAAAAAAAGTAAGCTTCTTATCTGTATTGGAAGTCCTTATACCGAAAAATTCACTTTATTTATTGAATGACCTTCGTATAAAAAATCCCACGAGAAAGGAGTTGCCTATCTCTTTTCAAACACCTACAAAGATTTAAGTTTTATATTTTCACCAAGTTTTTCGAGCGTGCAAACAACCCGCATGAGAGAGAGAGAGAGAGAGAGAGAGAGAGAGAGAGCCATTCCAGAGATGCGATGCCAGTCTCTCTGCACAGAAAGAAGATGTAAGATCCATAGATCACCCAATATGTGAGTGTGGGAAAAGACGTATGACAATGATAGATATATAAGCAGCTGAACCAGAGGTGTGTTACGAGTCTTCCTGCAAGCACAGAAGAGAAAGTAAGATCCATAGTAGCACCCAGTTTTGAGAGTGTGGGAACAAGCCGTATGATATATAAGCACCTACCTCAGAGGGGATTTGCAAATCTCTCTGCAAGCACAGAAGAGAATGTAAGATCCATATTTTCCCCAATTTTTTTTGCGACTGAGGAACATCCCGTATGATGGAGATAGATATATCAGCAACAACTCCAAGTAGGTGATGTCAGTCTCTCTCCAAAGACAGAAGATGATGTAAGCTCTATAGATTCACCCACTTTTGTGCATGTCAAAAATAGCTGTAGGATTGAGATACATATATATGCAAACACTCTAGAAGAGAGTTGCGAGTCTCACTGCAAATGAAGACGAGATTGTAAGGACTACGTTTCAAACAAGTAACTCCTGGGTCGCGAAAATATATCCTGGGTGAAAGATTGACCAATTTAAGAGTTGAATAAGATTTTTTAGTAAATATGTGAGATTACTGTCTCGTTTACTGTCATAGAAGACCTCCCTCGATTTCATTTCGCATTTATCCAGTGACCAGAATAAGTTCCTCAGCTTGCTTGTCTTTTGAGTTAGTCCTTACAGGCTATCGTGGTTTGTAATGTTTGAGGCCTTAAACAAACCTGTCGTAAAATATACCATCTAGTCAAAGTATTTGTCACAGTTGAGGCTTCTCTTCAAAAACCGTAAAGATCTGAGCAGGTTGCAAACAAAGCTTTAATAAGATACTCACATAGATACTTAAGTTACTTACTTGCGAACTGTTGTCTTGATCTTTGTTGTTATTATCACAACCTTTCGGTCGTTTTTGCCTGCGACATTTATCCGGTGTTTGTTGATGCAGATAGCATTCATTGACAAACAGCTGATGAAGACCAGTATCTACAACAACCGAAACGTTGTAGTAAGAATAACAAAAATGAGGACATTAGTCCGCATTTAAATTATATTTTATTGAAAGCGGCTCGGGTTGAGTTCGAATTCCAGTCTGATCCATTACAGTCACTTAAGTGCTAATAATCTTGGGAAGGGTATGAATCCTCTTCTTCTCCCCCCAGCTATGGATAAATAGCAGGACAGAATTTGGTTCTGTAGCACTGAGTGACAACCGGTCTTAGAGAAAGTAACCCTGAATTAAAAGCTGTATGTAACACCGGCGTAGCACATATAATACAGCTAAAGAAAGGATCATTAGCATTGGCTTGATGATCCCGGCTAGGGTTGAATGATGATACTGATGATGAATTTATATCGAGTAGAAACCTGTGAAAATTTCACGGTTTTCCTATTTAAAATTTTTGGTGAATTTTAATACATAACTCTTAAGTTAATGATTAAATGATCTCAGGGCGAGATCTACAACAATATATGGACGTAGTAATTCTTGTATCCTGTCGTTAAATATTTAAGCTCAACAACTTTAACAAAATCTTGCAATAACAATCATAAATATGAATGATAGTCCTTATTTTAAGAAGTAAGGAGGTACAAATGAAAAGACGTCAAACTGACAATTTTTTTCATTTCACTGAAACAGTTGTTAAACATTGTTATCTCCCCTTCTTTTTTTCTTTACTTTTTGTTTGTTTCTTTCAATTTTTCTTTCTTTCATTTTCTAACTTAAACCAAATCCATTATTTATCTTTTACATCGAGTGCAATGCTGATTTTCTAAAAACAGTGAAAAATCTTCCCGCCCAAATGAGCGTTATACGCTTGGGCGATAATCTCTTCGATTAATGACTAATTTGGCAGAATTCCCACTGCAGACAGTCGTTACTTTCTGCGATACAATTTATTCTTACAATTCAAAAAGGTATTGGCTTTAAATAACCTATAATGACTTGATAAGCCGTAATAAATCAAATTAATCTTTGTTATGGATTAATGTGAATAATAGACGTTTTGAACGACAAACCCGGACGCCTTTCTTATGAGTGTCTGAATGTTGTGCATTAAATATAATAATAATTATTATTACTAGAAATAGACGTAAAAATTTCGCGGTTTTCCTATTTGAATTTTAATTAAAGATTAAATAATTTCATGACAAGAAAATATTTGTAGACATTCCTCTATCGCATCGTTAAATATATGTGCTTAAAAAGTGTAACAAAATATTACAATAAGAATCATAAATATGAATGCTGGTGGTTAGAATTTAAAAGATTTGAAATTGTCAACTTTTCCATTTCATTAAGCCAGCCCCTAAATATTTCTATCTCTCTTCTTTCTTTGTTTTTTCGTTTGTTTGTTTGTGTCTTTCATTCATTCATTTATGTTCTAACTGAACCAATCAGAGATTGTGATACGTGTTTCGTTTTTCCACGCAATCAAAACGGAAGAGTTCATTATTCATGAGGTATTGACCGGAAACATTAAAAACTTTTATCTTCCTTTCTTTATTTCTATCATTTTCTCATTGAAATCAAGGAGTGTCATCAGCACTTTTCACGCCATCAAAACGGAATAGTCCATTATTCAACTCTTCCAGAGCACACCATAGTTGAACAAGCAGGCATAAGTAACATCGAAATTGACTTTTCCATTTCACTGAAACAGCCATTAAACATTTCAATCTTCTTTCTTTCTTTCTTTCTTTCTTTCTTTCATTCATTCTTTCTTTCTTTCTTTCATTGATTCATTCATTTTCTAATGGTACTAATCAGAGTCTGTGATACGTGTCTTGTTTTTCCACATAATCCAAACGGAATAGTTCATTATTTATAAGGTATTGAACGGAGACCTTACACACTGCTATCTTCCTTTTTCACTTTCTTCCACTGTTTCTGTGTTTGTTTGTTTCTTTCATTTTCTCACTGTAACAAAATTTGTGTCTTTTCTCCGCCTTCCACGCGATCAACACCGAATAGTCCATCATTTATGAGGTATTGTCAGGAGACATTAAAAACTTTTATATCCCTTTCTTTATTTCTGTCATTTTCTCATTGAAATCCAGTAGTGTCTCCACACTCGTTCCACGCGATCAAAACGAAGTAGTCCATTATTCAACTCCTCCAGAGCCCACCTTAATTGAAAAAAGAAACTTGTCTGAAAAGGCTTCAGTAACATTGAAATTAACTTTTTACCATTTCACTGAAAAAGACTGTTCTTTCTTCCTTTATTTATTTTTTTTTCTTTCTTTCTTTCTTTATTTATTTATCTCAATATTATTTCCACGCAGTCAAAAACGGAATAGTTCATTATTCATGAGGTATTGACTGGAGACGTTAAAGACTTTTATCTTCCTTTCTTTATTTCTAACATTTTCTCATTGAAATCAAGGAGTGTCATCAGCATTTTTCAGGCTATCAAAACGGAATAGTCCATTATTCGATTCCCCCAGAGCCCACAATATTTGAACAAACAGGCATCAGTACCATTATAATTGACTTTTTTCCATTACACTGAAACAGCCATTAAACATTTCTATCTTCTTTCTTTCTTTCTTCCTTTCTTTCTTTTTTTGATTCGTTCATTTTCTACTTGAACCAATCAGAGTCTGTGATATGTGTTTAGTTTTTTTCCACGTAATCAAAACGTAATACTTCATTATTTAGGAGGTATTGGCAGGAGACATTAATGATATCTATCTTCCCTTTTTTAATTCTATCATTTTCTCACTGAAATCAAGTAGTGTTTTTGCGATCCTTCCACGGGATCAAAACTTAAGGTTATGTTACCCAAGAAACACCACTTCAACAGTGTCTGCAGTACGTGTGATGCCCCTTCGAACCTTAAGGGTCACGAGATTCGAGATCGATGACCCATGTGAGTGATACATTTTCCGAACCTATTTTTCTCATTATGTCGACCAAAAATTTATTTTTTCACTTAAGCACAAGTATCAGCTGTATTTCCATTTTCCTAAAATCGTCCATCTTTCTCATAGAATCACATTACACTTTCCTCATGTCTTCTCTTCATCTGTGAGGAAATTGTCCAGCATTCACTGCTGTGCAGAAGATTCGATATTAGATAACAGTTCAGCACTCTTTTCTTTGTTTCTAACAAACATTTACTGTTAATTAATTGTTTGTTCACCTGTGAATCTTCTTTCGCTATTACAGTGCACATTTGAATTACTGTATAACATTTTCCAGCCTCTGTTAAAACACTGCCCAGTTATATCTTTGTGCGTGCATTGTTTCTCCTATTTGTGGCAACCACCTTGGACAATCGTCGGTTTTTGCTGAAAACCATACATTCTGTCTTTAACTGTTGATTAGATATTTCTTCTTGTTTTCTCTTTCTATTTCATTTAGGATTTCCTGCAGTTTAATTTCTGTGTTTTACTATATAAATTTATATTTGTACTTGGTTCTCTAACAGAGATACACCTTGGTTTTCTTTAAACAAATTTCAATAGGGAATAAGTTTTTCTTACAAAATCTTTCAAATACGACTGTTTTTTGTTTCTTAGAAAATCTTTCAAATACGACTGTTTTTCTTTCTTACTAAAATACTCAAATTACTCAAATATGAGTTGCTTTTTTTAAAATAAGACAGATTTTTCGTACAAAATCGTTCAAATACGATTTTTTTGGTTTCTTACAAAATCCATCAAATACAATTGACTTTTTAAATTCAAACTTTCAAATACGACCGTTGTTTGTTTCTTAGAAAAACTTTCAAATATGAACATTTTTTTGTTTCATACAAATTTTTTCAAATACGTGTGTTTTTTATTCAATTTTTCAAATACCACTGTTGTTTGTTTATTACAAAATCTTTCAAATTTGATTTTTTTTGTTTCTTACAAAACCATTTAAATACGAGAGTTTTTGTTTCTTAAAAATTCTTTCAAATACGAGTGTTTTTCATTAGAAAATCTCCAAAGAAATGAATAATTTATAAATCATTTTAAAAAATAATTGTAACGATACCAGCAAAAAAAAAAAACAAATTAAGTATCAAAACGAAGCCTTGTTAAAAATATAGATGGAAAATATAATAGCAATATCCGTGAAAATTTCACTTTTCTCCGATATGG